CCCATGGACCCAAAATTTCGATTTTGTTCCCCAACCACTTAGTTTTCACATTTGCCTTATGGCAAGGTCCTCCATCATGCTGGAAAAGGCATTGTTCATCACCAAACTGATTGGGAGAAGCTGTTCTCGGAGGATGTTTTTGTACCATTCTTTATTCATGGCTGCATTCTTAGGCAAAATTGTGAGTGAGCCCACTCCCTTGGCTGAGAAGCAACCCCACACATGAATGGTCTCAGGATGCTTTACTGTTGGAATGACACAGGACTGATGGTAGTGCTCACCTTTTCTTCTCCGGACAAAGCTTTTTCCAGATGCCCCAAACAAATAAAAAGGGGATTCATTAGAGAAAATGACTTTACCCCAGTCCTCAACAGACCAATCCATATACCTTTTGCAGAATATCAGTCTGTCCCTGATGTTTTTCTTGGAGAGAAGTGGCTTCTTTGCTACCCTTCTTGACACTAGGCCATCCTCCAAGAGACTTCACCTCACAGTGCGTGCAGATGCACTCACTCCTGCCTACTGCCATTCCTGAGCAAGCTCTCCACTGGTGGTGCCCCAATCCTGCAGCTGAATCAACTTTAGGAGACAGTTCTGGCGCTTACTGGACTTTCTTGGGCGTCCTGAAGCCTTCTTCACAACAATTGAACCTCTCTTCTTGAAGTTCTTGATGATCTGATAAATGGTTGATTTAGGTGCAATCTTAGTAGCATTAATATACTTGTCTGTGAATCCCCTTTTTGTTCAAAGCAATTATGACTGCACGTGTTTCCTTGCAGGTAACCATGGTTGACAGAGGAAGAACAATGATTACAAGCGCCACCCTCCTTTTAAAGCTTCCAGTCTGTTATTCTAACTCAGTCAGCATGACAGAGTGATCTCCAGCCTTGTCATCATCAACACTGACACCTGTGTTAATGAGAGAATCACTGACATGATGTCAGCTGGTCCTTTTGTGGCAGGGCTGAACTGCAATGGAAATTTTTTTTGGAATTAAGTTCATTTTCATGGCAAAGAAGGACTTTGCAATTAATCGCAATTAATTTGTTCACTCTTCATAACATTCTGGAGTATATGCAAATTGCCATCATAAGAACTAAGTAAGTAGACTTTGTGAAAATTAATATTTGTGCCATTGTAAAAATGTTTGGTCATGGCTGTAAATGCATGCACTCCAGCAATGAATGCAAGGCATTTCTCAGGAATTATTGATGGTGACAACAGTGGACCATGCCTATGCATTGTGTCTTACAATTGCCACTTGCAGTCTCAATCGGAGGGAAAGGGCCTGCACAAGGTCTTTCAGGGTAGGATTACCAGGTTTTCTTTGAATAAAGCTACAGATTAAAAAAATAATTTGTCTTCAAGTCTGCACTGTTGACTTTTATGTGGACAACATGCTGCACTGTTTGTATTTGCCTATACTACTTAGATTTTAAGGATTTGGCTTACATATATTTTAGCAATCTCTAATGGGAAACACACACAGGCTTCATCAAGGTCTTATGTCCCACCACTTTACAAAAAGGGACGTGATAGCGGGTGCAATAAGTCAATTATGTTGCACATCTACTGTGGATCAGAGACTGCAGGCACAATGTGGCTTCTTTGAGTGCTGGTCTTTGCTGAGTTGTGCAGCCCCTGAAAAGTGGAGGTTGCTTAGAATGCATCAGGAAAACACAACCTGCTTCCCCTTTAAAAAGAGAAGTGTGGGCTTAAAAAAAAAAGCAAACATTCATACTCGCCTAGCTGGATGCAGCATCAGTCCCCCGTCACCTCTAAGACCTAGAACTGAGCAATCAAATACCCCTGGTCGCTCAATTCTTGGTCTTCAGTAAGCAAAGAGCGGCAACTATCAGTCACTGGCTCTCTGCTCTGCCCCTCCAGCGTTCACTGGAGCACTGGGCTGTGTAGGGGGCAGAGTGGCTTGCTAAGGCTCTCACTCTCAGCGGCTCAGTGAGAGGCTGAGGCAGTTGCCAGTCCAGGCATCTAGTTGGATTCTGACTTTAAAGTCAGGATCTTTTCTGAGCCCAGACCAGCTGAGTGATGTTAGCTGACAGTGGGCTAGGAAAGCAAAAATACTGTCAGGATTATTAAGTATTTCACACAATGAAACAATTGAGTACTGACGTGATACTTTTTTTATTTGCACTAACATATCATTTTGAGGACAAGCTTTCGGGGTATGTCCCCTTCTTCAAGGTCCAGGCAGTTCACAATGAAAGAAATACAAAGAGAATGGGATACCTTTTTAAGTACAAATGCCGTTATTTGTGGTCAGTGGCAGCAAAAGCCAACCCCCATGCCCCACCAATGCATTGTGATCAGTGGCAGTGATAGTTAACTCCCCCACCACCTGCTGCATTAGTAGTTAGTAGAGTGGAAGTTAATCCCCCTCCCCTAGAATTAGTGGTCAATGGCAGTGAGTTAACCCCACCATATTGGTGGTCAGTGGCATTGCAAATTAACCCCCCCATCCCCCATTGGTGGTCATTACCTTACCATGTGCTTCTCTTTCTCCATCCGTAGGACAGAAATTAATTGTACTGTGCCCAGTAGTACTTGTACACCTCCCACAATACAATCTTTATTTCTGTGTTGAGTGCCAGAACACAGACAGCATTCCAGCACTCTGCATCTTGCTGTCACTCTGCTGCCTAACTGCTTCCAAGTAACCTGGACCCACAGAGGGCCTGCAGGCCACATGTTGGGCACCAGGTACCTAGATGGAGCTGCATCCACTGGATAAAACCCATCTAAAGGCAAATATGTCTGAAAATATCTAAAACATTGGAATAGGAGTGATCTGGGTCTGCCAAATATAGGATAGTATTGTCTGTGTACAGTGAGATACATTTCTCTAGGGAGTTTATGCATAAGCTTTCAAATCTAGGTGGGATACAAACCAGGATTGCAAGGGATTCCATTGCCAATGCAAAAAAGTATTGGGGGCAGAAGGCAGCCCAATGTCTTACCTCTGAAAATAGTGAACGAAGACTGCATAGCTGATTCTGGCCAAAGAAGAACTTTACATTCGACCCAGCTTATCAGGTTAGGTCCAGATTCATGGGAGGGGAGGATTTGTAAACAATAGAGCTACTACACTCCATCAACTGCTTTGTGTCTATCTAAAAAGACCATCACACAGCTCTCAGAGTTAACATGGGAATGTTGTAAATTGTAACTAAAAATATTAACAAAGGTGGCCCTATTACCTATACGTCTGGTCGCTGTTAGACAATGTGTTATATGTACCATACCAATCTGCTGGAAACCCATCCAAAACCAAGTGTTTTCTAGTTAGGAGTTTAGAAATTGAAAGTTTTGTAAATTGGGTACTGAAGGTCATTTCTTTGTAAATGGGGTATTGCAAGTCCTCCTTAGCACTTGATGATAGTGATGGGAATAGGGATAATTTACACAAGAACTTAATTTCTCTAGTGCAGTGGTCTCCAAACTGGGGCCTGGGGGCTGAATGTGGCCCTTTGCTTGCTGTTATCCAGCTCTTGGGGCATTATCCCCCCACTGTCAGCAACAGTAGGGCATAGCTCCTGCCACTGACATCAATAATGGGGCACTATTCCTCCCATTGACACCAATGATGGGGCACCATTTCTTCGATTGATACCAATGATGGGGCACTATCCCCCCCCCCCCCCCCCCCCCAATACCAAATATGGGGCACGGTTTACTCCTTGAAGCCAGTACATTTTCTACTCCCACTGGCCACAGTGCGGCCCCCTTAAAGTTTGAACAACGGTAAACTGGCCCTTTGTTTAGAAAGTTTGGAGACCACTGTACTAGTGTATACCAGGCAGTAGAGATATACAGTGTAATTGCACATAAAAGGATGTGAGGGCATCCAGAATTTGTGGTGTTTGGGTGTATTTGTTCCCTAGGTGGTCTATATTTCTAGATTCAGCTGTTGGGCTGTATTCTGGTTTGGCTAGATAAGCCAATAGCCTCCCAGCTTTATTGGGGAACACAGATTTTTTGGTTAGTATAAAGCAAATGCATCCTAATGTGTTGTCGCAGAAAGGAATTTTGTGTTTCCTCTTTTTTTGGAAAACAGCTTTGATAGTTATCTGGGGTAGGATTTGAAGTGTAGGGTCATCCATGTTCAGCTTGGCTCATCACTTTTTCAGAAGTGGCTATTAAAGCTATTGAATTGTTTCTAAATATTCCAACAATAGCCATAGAAGCTAGCAATATTTAGGAGCAAAGACCCAGTTGATAATCTTTGTAAACTGACTGTTAAATAGAACGTACAGCAACAGTCGTCAAATAATATAACGTGCCTGCAGTAATGGCAGCGGAGTCTCTGGTTTCAGTTTGTCATTGGGGTTGTTTTACAATAAGCAATTAAGACTGTTCGCTTTGTAATGGAAACGTTACCCAAGAGCTTAGTGAATGAGGTGAAGTTCTAACTTCCATCATCCAATCATCTGCAAGCAAACATGCTGTTTTTTTTATTATTTTCCTTCCACATGAATGGGTATTCTTTGCAAAGTGGAATTTCACCTCATTCACTACGCTGTGGGTAAAATTCCTTTCCAAGATGCAATTTCTCTTTCAAAGTGACCAGTCTATTTGCTGTTAATAATCAACACTGTTGCTTCTGAGCAAATGCACACTGGTTTTAGGTCATGACTCAGAAAATATACTGAAACCATTTTAGCCATGGTCAGCATTTCAGATAGCCAAGTAATCTTTTTAAAAAAGGAGATTTGTAGGAGTATTCTAAATTCTTGCCTCACGTCAAATTAATATTAAACAGTGCACCAGTCTATGCATTTGGAGTGTTGGTATATCTTATGTTTGTCTGCTTTTCTTCTACTGTTCCTCTTTTTAGACCAAGCTTGTACTAACCAGGGGCGGACTAACTCATGGGTCCCCTGTGTCCTTACCCAAACTCAAAAAAGCCTATGAAAAAGGTACCAGGGGCATCTCATGGGGCCCCCTACTGACCCCGGGCTCTCGGACAGTGCCCGAGTTTCCAGATGGTAAGTCCGCCCCTGGTACTAACCTGTACAGTGTCTGTTCCTGACACATTGAGATTCTGCCATTATCTCTTATGGTAAACGGAAGTTGTCATGTGCACATGGAAATGCATTTTGGTACATAACATCCTAATTTAGCATTAGCCAATGGCAGTCATGATGAGCACTGTGAATTTGCAAACAAGAAAGAAGCCTTTTGCATGAAATGCATGATTTCCTATAATTTTCTTATATACAGAATGTACTTTGTCCTCCACATACAGAGCACATCAACCAGCATAGAGCCAGATCATCCACAAGGCAACCCTAATCGGGAACCTAGGACCAGTGTATGTCAAGGGGTCCCAGCTACAACCTTCATGCTCTTGCACTAAACTAGCGGGTTAGGGCAATTGGTCATAGCTGTGCACCTGCCTGTAAATTTACAAGGGAGTTTGTGTCTATTGGGGTCATGCCAATACAGACAGTACAAATGGGACACCTTCCTTGTGTAAATCCATATCAATTCTAGTCAGGGATGGGAGGTTAAAACTACTACCTTGCCTAGGAGCCCATTCTGCCTTAATTTGTTTCTGTTTGAGGGTAAAAAGGTCTTTATAAACATGACCAAAGATTAGAAAGGGCAAGTGGGTAAGGGAGCAAACTAAACAGATAAAAGTCAGGGGGGATTATCGGTTGTCTTTTTGTGTATATCCCACACATAGCTATGCCAGCTAAAATTGCAACCATTTTAACCTCCCTGGCAGTAATCCCGTGTGTGGCTTGGGGTTAATTTTCAGTACCAAAAGCGGTAACCCCAAACCACACTCGGGATTACACTGTAGTGTAACTTACCTTGTCCCTGCGATCCCCCGATGTCCTCTGGGGTCCCTTCCCTGCAAGCGCCACAACACAGGGAGCGGAACCGGTGGGAGATTCAAAAAAAGTAAACAAAAACATGACATACACACAATACATTGTAATCTGTTAGGATTACATTACTGTATCAAACCGTTTCACCTCAGTTTTGTCCCATGCCCTGCCTTGCACTGTTACTGTTCTTTCTGCCTGGAAACCTGAGAATGTCCTCAGCATCCAAAAAGCAGTTTTAGGCCAGCTAGAGAACAGTGATAGTGATTTAGAACCACTTGCAGAATTGTGCGATAGTGATTCGTGGGGAAATTCATCATCAGACACTGAAAGCGACTATTCTTGAACTAAGCTCAGTGATGTGTGAACTTGGTGCTCAGTTTCAAAATTCAGTGTTTTTGGTTTGATTACGTTATTGAATTAATTATATTATTTTTTATAATTATAATTTATGATTTTGGGTTTCAAACTTTATCATACCCGGGATGTTTACTAGACTCGTTTGGACAGATTTAAGTGAGTTATTCCTAAGAATTACAGACCTATAATATAAAAAAACAATTTTCCATGCAAAACACTGTACTGCTTTGACATTCAAAAATATTGACATAATCAGACCGCCAGGGAGGTTAAAGGAATGTTTCTTGGCATAACAATATCAATAACATTCAACTTTCTGTAGATCTAGACCAAATTAATTAGAAAAGGGTCCTTCTTATTCCAATCTTAAAAGTGGTAATCAAGGTTGTAAATGTAGCGCTACCTCTTTAAGAGTCAAAGTTTTTTTGGGTACCCAGTCTGCCCAGAACCTGCTTTGGAAGCTCAACCCCTGCCGACACCACTGTAAACATTTGACCAAGAGGACACCCTGGCTTGGAACCATAAAATAAACAGTCTAGGGTGCAGACGTTTTCTGGTTAGACTGAGGTCAGAATAATAAGAGTGCAAGCACAACAAAAGATACCAGTAGATGAGCATGCAATATAAGTTAAATGCTTTAAAAGGTTCAACAAAATATTGTAACACAGTATCACTTTAAGCAACTCCCAAATGTCCTGCAGAATCAGAATTTAACATCAGTACCAGCCTCTGAGATATCTCTACCCAAGAGAGCTGGGAGAAATTATCAAACTGTCAGACTAACTCACTTTTGGGCTCTCAGTTGCTGGTGACTGGGTTTAATGCTGAAGGTGAAATCTCTGGTGAAAAGCAACAATGTCCCCTTTTAGGTATCTCTTTTTAGCAAGTGTCCAATCTTCTGTGCGCTCGATGGGGCCCTAGTTGGTGCACGTTAAGGTTCAGATTTTTTTTTCCTTGTGTGAAAGCAAGTTTCGCTCAAGGTGCTGTAGTCTAAGAAAAGGAAAACTCGTCCTTCAAAGTAATGCTGAATTTAAATGAAATCTCTAATACAAAAGGGTGAAGACAAAGATTTACTTAGATTGTAAAAAGGACAGAAGCAGACTTTAGCAGAGGTGGACTCCTCAAAAAGTAGTGAGCTAGTCTGAAGAAGCAAGTTCCTTGGGCATTAGAGACTTGAAAAGAGACGCTAATGTGATTCTTTACGCAGGGTGCATATACTGTAGCAAAGTCCTGCGGCTTAGGATGCTAATAAAGCACTAATCAGAAGGCCGCAGTAAGCTAGACAGTCTGGGCCTCAGTGTGATAAGCCACAAATGTAAGGTGTGCTGAACTGAAAGGAACAATTGAACAGTCACTTGCAACTTTTGATGATCTGGGTATGGAACCCTCTCACCCGACCTGTAGCCTCAGTACAGTAGCATTTTGTGAAGTTGCATAATATTTTGTCAATACATGTTATATATTATTTTAACACGTTTTCCATTTTAGATAGTTTAACACTTGAGCACAGTTATTTGTTTCTTTGTAGAGGTTTGAGCAACTCTGACAAGGTCCAAACTGTGATGGTTAGAAGAATGGGCCAAAGCAACTCTAAAACGAGGCTCTCGTAGGATGTTCATGTCTGCAGTTGGCAGGACCGACCAAAAGTGATCCAAGGAAGGAAAACTGGCGACGGTCATGGCAGCCAAGGATCACTGATGTATGTGGGGAATGGAGGCTGGCTTGTGAACTCTGATCCATTAGAAGAACTACTGGAGCTCAAACTACTGAAAAAATGTTAATGCTGGTTCCAATAGAAAGGTGACAGAACATACAAAGCATCACGGTTTGTTGCATTTGTTGCATATGGGGCTGCGTAGCTGCAGACCAGTCAGGGTACCTATGCTGATCGGTGCCCACAGCCAAAAGCTCCTACGATGGGCAAGCAGGAATCAGAATTGAGCACTGGAAGAAAATGGCCTGGTCTGATAAATTCAAGAATGGTTTGCGGAATATGAGTTTAAAGGTGTTGACTTGGCCTCCAAATCTCTATACAATCAAGCATCTGTGTGATGTGCTGAAAAAAAACAACCCCACATCTCAGCTTACAGGACTTAAAAGGATCTGCTGCTGGTGGCTTGGTGCCAAGTATACCTTCAGAGGTGTAGTGGAATCCAATGGATCTTGATGGATAATGCTGGGTGGTCTTAATGTTAATAAAATTAATGGTATTTGAGCACAGGGATTCTAAGTTCTATTGTACATGCTGTGTGCTGCCAAACACTAGCCACTCTCCTACTATCCATGGAGTCCTGTGTCATACCCTCCCCCATACATACCACACACTGTTATACCCTTCAGATCCACCTGAAAAAACGAACAGGCAGTTGTGATAGGATGTCTATGTGAATGGATCTATACTCTCTGCACTCGGCTACTGCATATACTGCCTAAAGACACTTCTTTAGCAAAGTTTGTTTTATCCCCAACCTCCTTTGTTATGGGACAGACACATTTCATGCACGCTTAATTCTTGTAAGTGGAAAAAAAAAAAAAAAATATGAAGCATGCCTACTTCAGTGTACATCCATGTAAAAGTTATTCGATGCAGAGCAGAGCCCTCAAATCCCTCTTGTATTGAACTGTATTGTCTCCCGTTATATTGTAAAGTGCTTAGCAAACTGTTGGCGCTAAATAAATCCTGTATAATAATAATCCCCATACAGGCAGTTCCATTTATGGACACAGCCATTGCTCCTAATTTGACATCCGTCTGGATGTATGTCTCAGAAGGCAGACAGTGAGTGTTACAGATGTCAAATTGTAAGCAGCACCAGTGTTAATGTAGCCACTGTATCCCACTGACCTGCACAGATCTTTTTAATCCTTTCTATATTCAAAAAGTGATCATACAGAAACAAGATTTCCCAACTTTTAGACTGGTCCCTTAAAATCTACAAAAGACACTTAAAGTTTTCACGGAAAAAAAGTCACTTTATTAAATATTTGACAAGGTCTACCGTGAATACAAAAATGACAGGTTACTTCAGTCATGGTAAAAGCACCTTGTTCAGAGATAAACTCAGTGACAGGTATTTGCAATAGCTGACTTAATCATTTGTAGATCAGCATGCAGAAAAAGCTAAAAGGTAAAAAAGGGGCCTGAATTTTGTGCAGGTTTGGGATTAAGTGGTGTATATTTATAATATGTACATGTGGCAGAAAAGTTTTACGCTACTAGTTTTTTTTTTGACAAAGAAATGGCTGGGAACAATGCACAGCGAGGAAAAAAAATTACTGCATCTGGGCAAACAAAACCATTTAGTCGAATGTTTTTTTCATGGTCTGAATGATAGATCTTCAGGTCATCTTCTGCCTTTAGTCACGCAGCGTTCCACAGATGCTATTTTGGGTCGTCCTTTTTCTCCATTGCCTTTTTCTGCTTTTCCTGCATTATCTGAGCATCTCTAGAATAAGTGAAAGAAGACAGAAAAAAAAAAAAGTATAACTCCAGTTTCACATGAAGCCCTATATCTTACCACCACTCACCTCTATCAAGTTGTAAAGTGGCGGTAAACTTCTAACATGAAATATGAACAAAGCATATCCCTCTACTTGTCTCAAGAGCATTAATGGTTTATTTACTAAAGCTGATCCACTCAGAACCTCATGCACCTGTGCATGGTAGCCAATCAGCTTCTAGCCTCAGCTTGCTGAATTAAGCTTTAGCAATAAAAACTGTAAGCTGGTTTCTATGCAGAAGTGCACAAGATTCTGAGTGAACCAGCTTTAGTAAACAAACCCCTTAGTCATTTCTGTCATCGTGTCAACTCTGTCTCCCGCTTTGTTTCTCTGTTAGCAGGAATCACTTCTGACAAGTTTTCCCTGACACCAAGAGAAAAATGGTGACAGAGGAGGGATCTCCAGCAGCTTGACAGTCTCAGCTCTGCTACCCTGCGTGAAGGGGGGTGTGTCCTTTACCGCCAATCAGTTCTTAGAGATCTCTTTACGGAGCTCAGCAGTGTGTAATTTCAGCTCTCTGCTCCCTGTTTTCAGACAGCTCAGACAAGCTTTATACATTCTGAACTTTGGATGTAGAGAAGAGATGACTGCAGGTAGACAGGTACAACTTATGTAGGAGGATTTGTTTAATCTCTGCATATCAGCTGAGGCCAGTCACTTCACTGAGTATATGTAAGGGTTTACATCCACTTTAAGTTTGGACCAAGGGCCTCAGATGTAGACATGCCAGCCTAAGGCTCTACAGCAGCCACTGTCAACTAGGGTTTCATGAAACCCTAAGGTTCCTCCAGAGTTTGCTAGAGGTTTTATGAGCTGTTGACTGACCTCCCCATGTGATGGTGCCTGTAACGTTTGGGGGACAAAGCCACTGCAGAGCAGCATTACGCCAATGATCTTTTTACCTGTCTGTAAGGGGAACGTTCTGATCGCCACTGACCCCCAATTTAAGAGATATTCTTCCCATTAACCCCCTAATGAATTGGTTGTGGCAGGGGGTGCCCAAGATCTGAAAATGGTTTCAAGAGTTCCTCTAGGGTAGAGTGGTTGAGAAAGGCTACTCTACAGTGTTTAAAGTGGTAGAAAAGTATTGGAGGGGGGGGAAGTGAACCTTTACAGGTTTAAATCATATGCAGTGCATACTAGTACATTATGACAGACTTCCCTGCATAGAGTCCTCCAGCTCTGAGTTGTCAGAGCTCCCCTTGGTCCTTGGATCCTCAATCCACACCTGGTCTTCCTTCTAAGTTCTGTATCTTTAGCCACTTGAATGGCTGGGGTGAGGTAACCCTATTTCTGCACATGCGCACTGGAATCACATCGCCATAGCACACAGAGCAGGCCGCAAACGTGGCCAGAGCTGCACATGTGTGGCTCAGATCACATTAACCACTGACAGGCAGGGGTAGATAGGGAGTATTCCAGCCAAGCTTCATGAGGTACATAAAATGGCCTACACCTATAGCAAGGACATTATTCAACTTTAGTCAGAGCTGCAGAGTTTCTTTTTATCAACAGACACCCCTTACCTGCAGAGGCTTCACTTTTGGTGAAGGTGAATTATCCCTTTAACCACCGGCACTTTTACCCCCTTCCTGCCCAGGCCAAATTTCAGCTTTCAGCACTGTCGCACTTTGAATGACAACTGTGCAGTCACGCAACACTGTACCCAAACAAAATTTTTATCATTTTTAAAACAGAGTCTTTAAAAAAAGACTGAAAATTTTGAAGAAAAAAAAAAAAAAGTTTTAGTTTCTGTTATAAAATTTTGTAAATCATTTTTCTCCTTTACTGATATGCGCTAATGAGGCTGCACTGATAGACAGCACTCATACATGGCACTGACAAACATGGATAGGCAGCATTGATAGGTGGCACTGACGGGCAGCAATTATGGGCACTGACAGGTGGCAACTATGGGGCTACACTGATCATCAGTGCCTTGTGTACATGTTCCCTCTGAGGAATGCCGCTTACCAGCTCTCCTCACGCGCTGTCAGCGCGAGGAGAGGACTGTAGATAACCGGCAATTTCTATTTACATGCAATCAGCTGTGATTGGACACAGCTGATCACATGATAGACCCTATGTCATTGGCTCTTTACTGCGATCGGTTATCCGCTGTGTCCCAGGGCCCTTGGGGGCAAACGTGCAGCTAGAACGTGAGGACGTCATATGACGTCCTCCCAGAACAAGAGAGCCACCGTCCTCCTGTCATTTCCTTATATGGCGGGTGGGAGGTGGTTAAAGATTATTTCCAGGCATGGCTATCCAGCTTGGACCAAAATAACTATGCATGTTCCCTACCTGTGGCATCCCTGTGAAAACTAGTGATTGCTGCTGCCTTCTGGGTCACGTATTAAGAGTCTGCTCGACTAGGTCGCTCACTCAGCACAGGTACCATTTAGAGAACACTATGCATTTTCTCAATGAATGCAAACCTCTCGCCGATTGAACATCCCTGTGACACCTCTCTAGCTTGTTCAATCAGAGATCACTGCATTCATTGAGAAAAATGCAAAGCGTTCTCTGAATGGCACCCAGCTTTAATGTTAATAATATTCTGCGCTTGTGCTGTGTTGTAGCAGAAATAGATCATCACTCAAATACCTCTGCTTTCGTGCCGCAGCTGATAATCCATCATCCGGCTTCTTCGATTTATCCTGATGTTTCTTTAGATTCTTTGCTCGAGCAAGCTCACGCTGGTTTCCACCTGCACAATAACAAAACATATTTACAAACTGCTCAAACATTTCTAAACACTGAATGGATTTCTCTTAAAATCACTTTAAAATGGACAAACAAGTTATTAAAATAAAAAGACAGTCCACAAACATTAAAACATAAAGTTGTCTATAGTTTTAACCACTTTACCCCCACGCCAATTCTGGCATTTCAGAACACCCAATCATTATGTTTTGGGGGTTTTTTTAAGCAGAGGCCCCGGGGAATAAAATGGTGGTTGTTGCAATTTTTTTTTTTGTTGCACAATATTTCAGCAGCCATTTTTTTTTAGAACAAATTTCTTGGAAAAAAAATACACTTTAACCACTTCCCGTCCAAGGTAAACTTATAAATGTCCTTGGACGAGAAGGGCGATATTTCGGTCATCGCTGCAGCAAGCCCTGGCAATTTCCTACAAAATAAAAGTAATCTGAGCAGCTAACAAACCGCTGGATTACGTTTACAGATGGCAGAAGGGTGTCCCACCCCCCTCCTGGCGCCGCCTTTCCTGTGCGATTGGAAAGCCCAGCAAGGACACATCCAGAGGCATCCAGCCCTAGGCACACAGTGAGAGAGCAGATGTTGTTCCTGCCACACACGTATGTAAATGGCGATCACACCACACTAGTGAGGAATTGCATCGAAACATCAGAGTGAGAGCAATAATTTTAGCGCCAGACCTCCTCTGTAGCTCAAATCTGGTAACTTGGAAAGGCTTTTAAAGTGTTGCCAATGGAGATTTTTTTTTCTCTTAGGTACTGTAATTTGGCGCTGTTCCATGGGCGGACGCAATTTTAAAGCATGACATGTTTGGTATCCATTTACTCAACATAACATCTTTATATTCTATCGAACAATTGGGTATTTTATTGTGTTCGTGTAAATTAAAATTAGGTAATAAGGTGGGTGCTTTACTTATTTTTTTTTTTTTGCACTGTTCCTATAATTTTAATCAACCTTATTGCTATCACAAATGATGAACAACATCCCTTGTGATAACAATAAGCATGACAGGTTCTCTTATGGAGGGATATTAGACCCCAGATCTCTCCTCTGCCCTCGGTTTAACCACTTGAAGACCAGGCCTATTCTGACACTTTGTTTACATGCAAAAATCTGTATTTTTCTACAAAATTACTTAGAACCCCCAACATTATATACAAGCTCTAGAGAATAAATTGGGTGGTGTTGCAATTTTTTTTATGTCACATGGTATTTGTGCCGTGGTTTTTCAAACACAATAACAGAAAAAAAAAAACCCACAAAATAATACCCAACTGTTTGATAAAATTTAAAGGATGATGTTACGCCGGATAAATAGATACCAAACACGTCACGCTTTAAAATTGTGTACGCCCATGCAACGGTGGTAGGCGATGTAAACTTTATTATCCACGCTCTAAATGCCTTTTCAGGTTACCACTTTACACTGGAGTTACACAGGAGTTCTAGTGCTAGAATTACTGCCCTAGATCCGATTCCTATGCCTTCAGGCCTCAGATCAGCCCCAATTCCTGCTCCTTCAGGCCTCAGATCAGCCCCAATTCCTGCTCCTTCAGGCCTCAGATCAGCCCCAATTCCTGCTCCTTCAGGCCTCAGATAAGCCCCATTTCTTGAACCCCCAGAACTCCGATCAAAAGTCCTGCACCTTCACACCTCAGATCACCACAATTCTTCTGATCAGATCACTAGACCTCTGATCATCTCCAATTCTTCGCAGTGATACCTCATGTGTGCGTTTGCCTTTGTACGTGAGCGAGGGGGAGTTTTAATTTTTTTTAAATTTTATATATTTTTTTTTTAAATTTATCACTTTTGTTACAAATATCCTCTGTGATAGCAATAGACAGTAACAGGTACTCTTTACTGAGAGATCTGGGGTCTGGTAGACCCCAGGTCTCTCCTCTGCCCTTAAAAGCTTCAGGTCATACCAATATTGGCAGGATCTGATGGTTTCTTCAAACCCCTAAGGGTATGTTTACAGCTGCAAAACCGCATGTGATGAAATGCTCCGCCGCTCCTGTTTTCTTACATAGAGATGATCAGAGCTTTTCCGGTCTCCAATTACCTCTATGGTAAGCTGGCGGAATGTTTTGTGTCTTACGGTGGGACAGGAGAGCTCCAGAGAGCAGCGAAAGGCAGGGACATCCCCTCCCACTGCTTGTAAAAGCAATCCAGCAGCTAAATAGCTCTTAGGATTTCTTTTACAAGAAAGCCAACCGCTGGCTGCTCAAAAACAATACTGGGATGATACCTGCAGCTGCAGACATCATCATGGTATAAACACAAAGTCCAGAGACATACCGTGACATCACTGGTCGCATCAGTGGTTAACCGCTTCCTGACCGCCCTATAGCAGAAATACTGCTACAAGGCGGCATGGGTGCGCAAAATCACTTATATATACGCAATTTTTAATTACTGGCCATCAATCACCGGGTCCTGGCTGGTGATTACCCACTGGTGCCGATGCTTACCGAGCATCTCTGACAGGGAGGTGGACTGTTTTGTTTACTAACAGTTCTCCTCCCTGTCGGCTCCGGCACACTGCTCTGGATGGCTGTGCAGAGCACAGCCATCCAGAGCAGTGTGTTTACAGTGAAGCACCAACACACCGCCCCCTAGTAAGTTCTCATGCACACTGGATGTTTTACAGCTGCTTTTTTGGCTTTTGACATTTTTTTTTTTCTACAGCCAGTGAACTCCCCAGCATGTTATCCTATGTGTCCATGCACATAGATTGTAATCGTTTTTTGACTGGAAAAAAAACCCCCAGAACTAGTGGGTTTCTAGAGGAGTATTTTAGATGTAAAAACGCTCTAACGCTGAAAAATGCGGTAAATTGCAGCACACCCATGTTTTTGGATGTTTTTCTGACTAAAAAAATATATTTTGTTTTTGGTCAAATAAAACTCTAAAAATTGCAAAAGGTGTGACTTTACACAGCTAATAAATATTTAAATTTTTAGCTTCTTTCTTACACAGCTAAAGTTACCAGCATTATTAAAACGCCCCCTGTGCATGGAGCCTTAAACATTCCCAGCACACAGTTAACCCTTTGATCGCCCCTCATGTTAACCCTTTCCTGCCCAGTGCCATTAGTACAGTGTCAGTGCTTTTTTTTTTTTTTACCACTGATCACTGTATTGGTGTCACTTTATTTTGGTGGTATTTATGCACCACTGGGAATTATATTTTTTTGCTAAATGAAAAAGTCCACAAATTTTGAATAAAAGTGTTTTTCTTATACAATTTTGCAAATAAAAAATATTTCATCATAAATCTTGGCCAAAATTTATTCCGTTATCTTTTTAGTAAAAAAAAAAAACCAAATTAGTTTATAACCAAAAATTATAATTTTTAAACTTTTTTTTTTTTACATTTTTTTTTTTTACTGTCATACTGTCACCCTAGCAGTACAGTGTCACCATGGTGACACTGTACTACTTGTGGGGGGTGATGAAGATTTTTTTTTTTTTTTTTTTTTTTTTTTACACACCGATTGCTTTTACACCCATAAAGGCTGTAAAAGCAATCATTTCTCTCTCTGGCTGCATTCTTGCAGCCATTGAGAGCTACTGTGAGAGCTGTGATTGGTCACAGCTTGTCACATGGTACAAGGCTGTTGTGAATAGCCTTGTACCATGTGACCACTGTGATCATTCACAGATTTCACATGTAGTAAGCAATGATGTCAAAGGTGACATCTTGCTTACTACTCTGCATGTGATCACTGATTGGCTAATCAGTGATCACATGATCGGGACCTCTGTGTGAGGTCCCATACAACGATCTGTGTTTCACTGTGTCCGGAGGACACAGTGGGCACCGGATCGCAGTGCTGCGTGTTCCCAGGGAGCGCGCACAAGCAGGGGGCGGGGAGGCCGTTTATAAACGGCCACCCGACCCTGCACTGCCACCGTCCAGCCGTTTATGTACAACGACCGGACGGAAGGTAGTTAATAGCAAAAAGTCAAAAAATATTGGTTTTTTTTTTTCTCAATTTCCAGTTTTTTTTTATAGCGCAAAAAACAAAACACCAAAAAAAAAAAAACAAAAAAAAAAAAACGCACAGGCGTTCAAATACCACCGAAAGAAAGCTCTATTCGTGGGGGGGAAAAAAAAAAAAAAAAAATTAATTACGGTGCAGATTTGCATGACCGCGCAATTGTCAGTAATGCAGCGCCGTAACACATAAAAATGGCCTGGTCAGGAAGGGGGGTAAATCCTCTGGAGGGCAAGTGGTTAATCAGATGCTGAACTACCTGGTAACCCTGGTAACGGCTTGTAAACATCAAACCAAAACAGGAAGTGAGGAGATCCTCTTACATCACAGAGGGGAGCCGGGTGTGGATGGACATTCCTCCCCTCTGAGTAATCACCAGGTGGTGGCGGTACCATGCTGCCCAGGAGAGGTTGGGGGGGGGGGGGGGGGGGATGTTGAGCCTGTAGAGGTGACTGAATGGTTGTACTCTTGGCAATCAGGGTGTAGCGGGAACCTAACACAACTATGTAACAAAACTATGTACCAACACCCCCCCTAACAAAAGCCTAAAGGTGTTGGGAGGGGGAGAGGACAGAAAGCAGAACGTCCCCTTTACTTTTAGGGCACATAAACACATTACCCAATTTCTTGGTGAAATAAAGAAAAAGGGATGAGGTTTTAGCCCCGGTGCACATATATGTGGCCCGCGTTTAGCACGGGCACAAGAGCCCATTTAGTTCCCAGTACAGTTGCGTCTTCCAGTGTGGGCAGCGTGCCATCAGAACCAATGGCACCCACGGGTCCGGATTCCTCTGTGCGGGTGGTGCAGCTGCAAGGATTTTCGTGCAGATCCACAGCGCGGCACCACCCGCACAGATGTGAACCAAGCCTTAATTAAGATTGCAGCAGCCACCATTTTATTCTCCGGGGCTTCTGCTTTCAGGAAACAGATGATGTCCAGGCGGGGGGGGGGGGGGCTCGGAGTCATTTTCTAGTATGAACACTGATTGTAACATGTATGTGAGGAGTGTCCCCGGCAGGCAGACATTACCAGTTGCATCGTTTTTCTTTCCTCCTTCCTGTCTCTCTGCACACCTGTATGGAGTTATACGGGACTGATGCTGGTCGGGGCCCCGGGGTGAAGGGAGCTCTACACCTACTGCTATGATGGGACGTATCTGCTGCTCTATCTACGGGGATTAAACACTTAAAAACACTAACGCAGATAAACGGCGATACAAAACCGCTGGAAATCTAACGCGACTTCACGCAGCTAACGCTACCAGCATTGGGCAAACGTCCAGAGTGCATGAGGACTTATTCCTGCACGTGTATCCATCACACTCCATGTTGGGGGAGCCTGTACACCCCGATAATCTCTGTAAAAGAATTTAAAACAAACAAAAAAAGTTTCATTATTCCTAGCTCTGTGCACTACAGAACACCCCCCATAGCACAGGAAGGTGTAGTCCTGATTAACTTCCTGTCCTAGGGTGACAACGCTTCTCCCACATACATAAAGTACAGTAGGTGTTGTCACCCTTGCACCGAATTCCTGCAGGCTCACCTGAGGGGGTGTGGTCTCCATGGCCCTGCCCTATCACACACCGCCGTCCCCCCTCACCTCCATCTGCTCCAGGGACCCCCACACAGCTCTGACGTGGCACCACTGAGGCCGCAGCCTCGGGCCTAGACGACGGCGCCTCTGTCCTCCTCCGCCCGGTGTACCCCCCGCTCTCCCCTCACTCTTCCTCCTCCTCACACACTCACGAGTCATCGCTCAGCTCTCCCGTCACTCGCCCTCCGCTCCGACAACAACTTCCTCCTCCGTGCGGCGGATCGCCGTCTACTGACAGCTAATTGGTCGGTGAATATCACGTGCGCAAGAAACCACCTCCACCTCAGTGTATTTTCTGTAACCACGACCCACAATAGGATCGGGCGGGGTTTGAGTGCCATTACAGCCAATAGAATCTACAGGCCCGCCTCCTTGGGGGTGTGGTTATATTGCGGGTGTTGCGTGCGTAAACCTGGAGGAATTGTGGGACCTGGATGTCATCACGTGGGCTACTAGTGGAATGAGATAACACGCATGCGCGAGTTGTCATACTGATCAATAGCGTCATAAAGATCGATATTCGAAGACACGTGAAAGTTCCAGCTCTCATGTCAGATAATCATCAATAAAATAAATACTATCTACTATATAGTAAATGTTAATTAACTCTCTCTATATATATACAAATACGAACGGTTAATGTAATGTTTGGTTTACAAATCAAATCCAGTACTGCCTGGACCTTGAAGAAGGGGACATACCCCGAAAGCTTGTCCCCAAAATTGTATGTTAGTGCAAATAAAAAAAAGTATCACGTCAGAACTCAATTGTTCCTGTTTGGTTTACAAATCAAAATCCATTGAAAATAAAGGCTCGGTTTACACATTTTTTTTTTCGCAACACGAACGGATTAATTGGTTTTCAATGCATTTACACATTTTTTTTTAATCATGTCCCTGTACAGTATTCATGCCTTTAAAGTGCACTTTATAAAGAGTTTTAAACAGATTTTTTTTTTTACTTTTTTCTGACCTCCAGAACGGATTAATTTGTTTTCAGTGCATTCCTATGGTAAACTGCATTTCAGTTTATGAATATTTCACAAAAAGTCCCGCAGAACGGATTAAATTCATAAACCGAGGTATTACTGTATATATATATATATAAACTGTGCATCATGCAGTCTTCTATGCAGCCAGAAGGTGGCGCACTAGTCTGCTTTTTGTATATTCAGATTTGCTAGAAGTCCAGGGAGGGCATCATAATTTAAGCTTTCACTTGCATAGTTAGTCTGGCTGAAAAAAGACAAAAGCCCACCAGTTCAACCATACAAAATAAAATAATAACAAAATTATAATCCTATACCCACAGTTGATCCAGAGGAAAGCAAAAAGCCCAGCAAAGTATGATCCAATTTGCTCCTGCAGGGAAAAAATTCCTTCCTGATCCCCCGAGAGGCAATTGGATATTCCCTGGATCAACTTTACCTATAAATGTTAGTATCCAGTTATATTCTGTGTATCTAGGAAAGAATCCAGGACTTTTTTAAAGCAATCCACTGAGCTGGCCAGAACCAACTCTTGAGGGAGTCTATTCCACATTTTCACAGCTCTTACTGTGAAGAAACCTTTCTGTGTTTGGAGATTACATTTCTTTTCCTCCAGACGTAAAGAGTGCCCCCTTGTCCTCTGTGATGACCTCAGGGTGAATAGCTCTACACCGAGTTCACTATATGAACCACTGATGTATTAAAGCAGAACTTCACTTTCTTAATCAACATGGCCTATTTGTAGTCCTTATACTACTGTCATTAGTAAATAGATAGGAAAGTATATCATATTTACTTGTTTTTAACTTTTTTTAGTTACTTCCTGGTTTCCATGCCTAGGCTAATGACGTCATACATCCCAGGAGTTCTCAGGAGGGGAGGAGGTTTTCTCAGCTAAGCACACCCTGCTGCCTGCATTCCTGAGCTAAGGGCAGATGAATTCCTGGGAGTAAATTCCACATGAACCATCTGCTCTTACTCAAGATAGTCCAGAAATGCTGGGGGGGGATATTTTTCAAACTGATTTCTCAGAAAAATAAAGGATGGAGACATGGATGGAGGAGTTTGTTTTGTATATGAAAAATGAATTATATAGTTAATTAACCACTTCCTTGCCGCCCTATAGCAGAAATACGGCTACAGGGCAGCCCGGGTGTGCAAAATCACATATATATACATGATTTTGCCGTTCTGGGTAGGAGGTGCACGTGCACCCTATTCATGGCCTAGGCTGTCAATCCCAGCCGGAGATTCCCCACCAGCACCCGGCGATCTCCGAGGATTTCCAATGGGGGAGAGAACTGTATGTAAACAATACAGATCTCTCCCCTGTCAGATTCTGCACACTGATTTGTATGTCTCTGCATAGCAGTGTGCTTAAGCAATAAAACAGCACACAGTTAACACTTTGATCACCCCTCATGTTAACTCCTTCCTGCCCAGTGCCATCAGTACAGTGTCAGTGCTTTATTTAGCACTGATCACTGTATTGGTGTCACTGGGGATGTCAGTGGCAGTTAGTCAGAATGCCCCCAGTGTCAGAATGCTCGCCACAGTAGGTCGCTGATCACCGCCATTACTATTAAAAAAAAAAAAACATTCCAGTATATATACCGCCATTTGTAGAAGCTATAACTTTCACGTAAACCAATTAATTTACACGTATTGGGATTTTTTTTTTAGCAAAGACATGTCGCAGAATACATTTTGGCCTAAAATTATGACGAAATTTGATTTTTAAAATTTTTTTTCTGGACATGTTTTATAGCAAAAAGTCAAAAATATTGTTTTTTTCCCAAATTTTCAGTCTTTTTTTGTTTATAGCGCAAATAATGAAAAATGCACAGGTGATCAAATACCACCAAAATAAAGCTCTATTTGTGGGAAAAAAGGACATAAATGTCATTTAGGTGCAGCGTTGCATGACCACGCAATTGTCAGTTACACTAACTCAGCGCTGTATTGCAAAAAATGGCCTGGTCAGGAAGGGGGGTAAATTCTCTGGAGGGTAAGTGGTTAAGTAATAGTTTTTGGTTTGTGGTGCTCAGATTTAGCGTTGTTCCACTTTATCAAATCCAACTTTTTTTAATGAAAAAAAAAATAAGCAAAGGACCTGCAGCTAAATGTATTGCTCATTCAAAAAATAAAAATGACAGCAATAAGCAATACATATTTAGACCAATGTGCTGCAACCCTTTGGGTTTTTTTTTTCTTTATTTTGATGGTCACCAGGGACACCCCTGGCTGCATGCATAGACTGTAATTTTCCACACCATTGGTGCAGTTCATCTTTGTAGGTATGGTTTTTTTTGTTTTTTTTAAGAATTGCAGAGTTCTTGGTCCTGTGAAGTCACATGTACATTCATTCTGTGTGAGTAGGTGCAAAAATGAATATTAGGCTATTTACTCTCCGGGCCGAATGATGTTCTTCATACAGAATAGCGTGAATCAGAAAAATACCGCATTATGGCAAATAGATGGCGCTGACAATCCTAGGCTCCGTATCCGCCACCCCTCTCTGCCAATCCCTCCACTGGCGTCCGATTGCCCAATGCATAAAATTCAAATTATTACCATTGACGTACAAAGCTGTTCATAACGCTGCCCCAAACTACATCACCGACCTGATATCCATCTACCACCCAAAACGTACTCTCTGCTCCTCACAAGACCTCCTACTCTCTAGTTCCCTGGTCTCCTCCTCCCATGCCCGTCTCCAGGATTTCTCCAGGGCTTCCCCCATCCTCTGGAACTCCCTACCCCAATCCATCAGACTGTCACCTACCCTCCTCAGCTTTAGACGCACCCTGAAAACCCATCTCTTCAGAGAAGCCTACCCCGCCCTCACCTAACTGCTGATCTCCTCCGCTCTCCCCACCACTCCATCCCCCACAGCTATTTCCTCCTGTACCACTCTCCCCTCCCTCCTAGATTGTAAGCTCCAAGGAGCAGGGCCCTCAAACCCCTCGTGTATTATATTGTATTGTTTTGTACTGTCTCGTGTACTGTTCCCCATTATAATGTACAGCACTGAGCAAACCGTTGGCGCTGTATAAATACTGTGTAATAATAATAATAGTAGGAAATAAATACATCTTTACTATGATCCTCTGCTCCATCTAGTGACCATAATGCAGTCTACTCTAACATTTGACCACAAAGTCTGCCTTGGCTGATAATCCTACTTAGGTTGCTCTATAGTTATGTACTTCTTCCTCTTTGGGTGAAAACTGTCCATCTGCTTATGCAGGCCATACATGGGTCAAAAATTTCGGAAAGATTTTTCGTCCGAAAATCGAAAACGTCATTCGCTCGGTAATCCAATGATGCCATCGATGATTTTGAAAATCGGCCGACCAAGTCATAAAGTTCACCCAATATATCAGGTGAAACTTCTGCTCCTTCCAGGTCACAGCTCATGCACATATTCTTTTCGGAAAAACAATCGTACGATTTGACCATCATTGAGTCAAAAATCGGTTGTTTTTCACAAATTTTTCAACCGAAAAGGGGAGGAACCACGAAAATCGTCCGGTGCCATTGACCCACTAACAGAGCGAAAATCAGCCGAGTATTCTTAGGTCCGATTTTCGGATGAAAAATCGGTCGAATTTCGACCCGTGTATGGCCGACATTAGTTCAGCACATGTCAGCATAACCTTCTTGCTCTCAGACTACACTTGCTCAGCCTTTTTATGTTGTAAATCCATCTATCAGTTTAGCCATTTCTAAAACCCCCACACCAACTGTCTGATGGTTAAAGTGTTACTAAACCCAGAACCCTGCATCCACTATACCTGGTCTCCCACAGTACATACAACATGGAAATGCAATTATTTTTAGTAAATTTAAACTGCTAAATACCTTTTCTTACCAGCAGTATGAGCATTGGCTAAAGCTTGTAGGAGGAGTTTTCATTCCTCTGACTGTCCTATGAGGCTGCATGACCCCTGACCCTCTGTCTGGGCAGTGCTGATTGACCCTGTGCTGATCACATGCACCCTCCTGAAAAAAAAAGAAAAAACTCTCTCCTAGAGAAAAAAAAACTCCATAGCAATACACACTAAACTGAGCATGTGCAGAGTGTCTTCTATTGCTCTGTACTATCAAGAGATGGATTGGAGACAGTAGAAGAAGGGGAGGATCAGAGAAGGCAGGATCAAGCAGCCTTTTTACACAATGCGGAGAATTAGCCCCTTAGGTTCCACAGTGAGTATAACAAGCTGCTTTACTGCATATACAGACTGATTTTAC